GGAAGCATTCGTACTCGACAATTGTACGCGCGAAATCGCATCTTTGCACACGTTCTCTCCAATTATCTAAAACGTTCGAAAGTCTCGAAGTTTGCTTCAAGTTTTCGTATACGTTCGTACGTGCATTCAATTTCGAATATTCTTACAGCTAATTAATTCGAAGATCGAAGATTATACGAAGTTCTGCTCTTGTAATTTTAATCCCAACTTCTAATGAAAACCTTCCTACCGTAAATCTAAATTATAAAGTTCAAACGGATAAGCTATTAACCGTACAGTACGCTCGCCAGCAGTATAATTTCCGACATCGAGCCGAGTAGTAAGCGTACGAACAACTAACGAAATATATTTTAGGTCGAAAACGTGCAACAAATATGTATTTCCTCGAAACGGTGCAACGAAACGCGTCATCGATTCGCGTGGAAAGTAATTTTATTCGAGGGAAGAAGTCCGATACTTTCTGATATTACGCGTAGATATATACACGGTTCATCAAATTCGTATATATATATTCACATATATTCGAGATCGGAGCGAACGGAACGCTTCGGTTCAGCGCACAATACGCGCGGCTCGTGCGAATTACAGCAACGCGAACGAGCTTTGGCAAACGAACTGCTCGCTTTGTTCCCCCATATTTTCTTCTTTCTTTCATTTTTGTTTTTTTTCTTTTTTTTTTTTTTTTTTTCTTTTTTTCCGTTCAAACGAATACTCGTGCTCACCACCTGACGTGTATGCATCTGTGCTCGTGTTCGTCGGGTCGTCACGTGTAACGATGGGCGATTCCATTCCTCCGATGGATATTCCGATTTCGATTTATTCCGTTCCGTGGGAGAGGATCTTAAATGGTTTTGGAAACGTTGGAGTTTGTCTCGAAATGTCGGAATAATCGAACGTAATGCATGCAGCGGTATATAAATATATCAAAATACTGTTAGTAATATTCCTGTAGCTTTCTATACCTTACGATCTATACCAACATCGTCATTAGTATTCGTATGTACTCGGTTTCAGCGGTTTAATGCAGCGTTTCTACTACCACTACTAGGAACGGTTTTCAACGGTTTCAAGACAATTTTGTCCACACAGTTCCAATCCATTCAAGATTCTGACCGAATCATCTTCAGGAATTATTCGGCAACGGATCAACGCTTAAATTGGGGCAGGGAGAGGGGGAAATTTCGTTCGAGCCACGATGCAACGCCGAATTTTTTTTCGTTTATATGTTGTCGAACTGTTTGAGAACTTGTTGGAGAACTCGAGCGCAAACGTTACTTCTTATCGCATTATTTATATTGCACGATACGAAATACGATATACGCGAAATATAATAAAGAAAGCCCGCTCTTCAAGCGTTCATCCTCGTACATTCTCGTAAATTTTTTCTTTTCGATCCGAAAAAAATGTCTACGATCGAATCCACGCTCGATCAGCGCGCATCGTCCCCAGCAGCCCATCGTCAATCGTACGGCCGACGTGCGTGTATGTATTTATGTACGTGTAACGTGTGAATGTGTGTAGATGCGTGTGTATGGAATCGTACACAATATCAATTAACGTGCACAAGAACAATACTGCCACGAGATTGCGTGCAGGGCGGGTTCGTGCAGAGCCGCACGGAGCATTAACAGTGTGACAGACCTGGCTTTAACAGACACAACTTTAGCCCCAACGGCCATGTTCTCTTTACAGTAGATCGGCCCATACACTATATGGTCCCACACGGGTGGATTATTCGCACGGTCCACAACGTCAATCTGTACTTCCACCGTTCGCGACAAGGGCGGGAAGCCCTTGTCTTGGGCCATCGCCTCCAGCTTGTACATCTCACGCTACACCAGACCGCGTGTACATAACAAACGGGAACAAAAAACAAATGGTGTTAGTAAGTCAGTCGTAATGACTCGTGGCAGTGAGTTATTTTTTTTTTTTTTTTTTTTTTTTATTTTTTTTTTCCGATCTCGGGAGGAGTACACGGAGGAGGACCTCTCTCATCGTGTCGTCTCGCTCTCTCTCCATCTCCAAACCGTGTCTCTCTCTCTCTCCCGCATTTCGCATCTCTGCCATATCAGTGCTCTCACACCCTGGTGTAGCCTGCTGGCCTGCCCTCTCATCGTGTCTGTCTCGTCCCTAGAGATTCCTCGTCCACCTGTGGACCAATTATTTCCCGGACGCGAGGTGAAGGTATCCGGTATCTCCCGGATAGCAGCCGCTTTACACCGCTCTACCTTTCCTTTCCTTTTTTTTTTTTTTTTTTTTTTTCCTTTTACATTATTAGCGCGATTGTAATACATTGTAAGCAAAGCGGGGCTAGGCGGCAGCAGGAAGCCGAACGTGCCGAACACAGCTGTAGTACACGGGTGATCGCCGATCCCCTGCCTCCGCACCTGCGTCAGTGTCTGTTCGTCAACTGCACCTCGTGAACAAGAGAAAAAAGGGGGAAATTTTGTTTATCGAGGGAGCTCGGTACGCATCATCCTCAGCCTACCCTATATATTACGGATCATCGCGCTAAGGACAATCCGGCATCCGGTTTTCCGAACTCGTACACACATCTAGGGATGTTTTCCGCTAAAGTCGTCGAAGCCGAGCCTCTCGACTCTCCTCGTCCTCGATCCTCCACACTTTCGCACGTTCTCTTGCGAACGTTCCCGTCCACCAGTCAATTCTTAGTATCGATTTACCTCGGATCCCTGGACCGATATCTAGAAATTCGGCTTCGACGAGTGATAACAATTAACGTAAGTAAGGGATAGATAGTAGTGGTAATAGTATAGTAATGATAGTAGTAGTTGTAAGTAACAGTAGTAAGTAAGTAGGTAAGTAGTAATAGTAGTAGTAATAGTAATAGTAGTAGTAGTAGTAGTAGTAGTAGTAGTAGCAGTAGTAATAGTAATAGTAGTAGTAGTAGTAGTAGTAGTAGTAGTAGTAGTAATAGTAGTAGTAGTAGTAGTAATAGTAGTAGTAGTAGTAATAGTAGTAGTAGTAGTAGTAGTAGGAGTGTCCGACCAATCAGCGATCTACCGCGCCGCGCTTAACCATACATGCTTCCTCTCCCGTAAAATACATCATGTAAGTATATAAGAATAGAAATAAATGGGAAATAGCGTGACGATAACGAACGAAGGATGAACACAGAGTGAAAATCAAAATGTACAAACAGACGCAACGATACGTAACCGATTCGTAGAGACGCGTGAAACGAAGTGAAGCTGATGATGGATAGAACGTGGATGATGAAAGAAAAATCGATATCAGACGAAACGGTGTGAAAAAGAATGGAATGCAAAAGAAAAAAGAAAAAAGAATGAAAACGGAGAAAACGGAGAGAGAAAAAGAGATAGAGAGAGAGAGAGAGAGAGAGAGAGAGAGAGAAGAGAGTAATTAAAAAGTAGGTAGTTAGACACTGCACAGTTGAATTTAAGAGCTAATTCGTTCCGGCACAGATGTCATTTTTCTCGTCGATCGCGCGCAATACGCGGCCAATTTTATTCGCGTGCGATCCAATCTAATACAAGCGAGCTTTGATTAATGGACGTCATTTACATACTGATTCATCGCGGCGTTATCCCTAATTGAATTATCTGGTAAACTCGAGTGGGGGAGGGGGAATCGGTGGTTAGACGGAGAAATCGGATGTATCATCCTTCGTAGTCGAATTAATTTTGCATCGTTTCGACTCGCATTAACCGCGACCCTTCTTTCCTTCTATAATTTCAACGCCCAAAATTACTAGGCCGCTCTAGATCGATTGCTCTCCCACTGAATTTGACTCCAACTTGAACTGGAAACCGAAAATGAATAATTAATACCGGTCAACCTGTATAATTTGTCGATAATTATTAGAACGCGAAGCGTAAATAATTCCCTTGTGCATATCGCGGCGAGATTCTGAGATCGAATCAATATCTCTGATCCAACTGTTCGAAACTAGTTTTATCAAACGCTGTTCCCAACCAATCGGATGATACCAACATCTAGAAATGACACAACTAATTTTAACTGTTAACTAACGGAACACGGTTAATTCCGGGAATAAATTAGTCACAACTATCGTTGATAAAAGAGATTTTGTCGAAACTATCGAAACTGTTATTGAACTGTGGGAGCAGCATCCGGTTTTAATAGAGGCGGCAAATTTAATCGCGAACACACGTAGACAGAGAGAATGGAAATAGGCAGAAATTATAACCTCCAAAAGCTTAGTTGCTACATTCGATTGTTCGCACAATGATAAATAATCAAATCTCAAATCGATGCGTATACAACTTTCGAGGGAAACGAAAAACTTTACTCGAACGAATTCATCGAAACGTTTAACCCGCGTAAACGGTTTCTTCGCGTCGATACGCGGTGGATCGTGGCAATCCGAATATTCAGTTTACCGTTGAGTAATAACAACACGATCTCCCGCTGTATCGCCATTCTCCGTATTGTTGCAAATGTCGCGACGAACAGTGTGCGCAATCACCGTCTGTTACGCTTGCCACAGCTTGTGACGAATGTAGCCGAGAGGAGATGACAGTCATCAGCCGGAATTGGATATGAACGTGTTCAACGTCGTCCTTGATTTCCGATTTATCCTTGATTAAATCCTCTGCGAATCTTTTTTCCAACGCGGTTCTCGGTTCTAGGCCAGGGTTGTAGTCGAATCGCGGTTGCGAAACAAAAAAAGGAAAAAAAAAGAAGAAGCATCGTACGTTCGGCCCTATTGAGAAAATCTAGGCTGTTCGTGCAAACACGCTGCACCCGAGTATTAACGTTGCAACGTTGAAACGCGATACGGGCGAAATGAATTTAATGGAATTAATGAGGACCGTGAAGAGAGAGGGATTCTAGAACATGCCGGGATTCACCCTCGATGTATATAAGCGGTATCGCTCGATATTCGGCATTTAAATTTCTCATCTCGACCGAAAGTAAACGTTCTCGTCCATCGTGCATCCATCTCTCCTCCGATTTTCTTAGATCCTTAGACTGAAAATTACAGGTTCCTTTTTTTTTTTTTTTACGAAGGAACGTAATTTATAACGCGTGTTCGCGTAGAACATCACGGAAAAAAGAAAGAAAGAAAAAAGGAGACAAAAGCAGGCTAAGCAGAGGCATCGAGGTGTCTTATAAAATCCATAAATCCCGTTCTGGCATGGTTGGTACGGTTGATACCGTAAAATATGCTTTCCAAACATAAAATACCGTGCGATAAATTGCTCGGTTCGACATTCAGACTAAACAAACTCCCCGACGACGAATGGAGGGTCCGTTTCTCGGCTTACAATGAAAATCATAAAAAGCGCTACGTCAGAAATATCTCGATCCTCGGAAACGAGGGAGGAAGGGAGGGGAAAAAAGGAAAAAAAAAAGGAAAAAAAAGGAAAAAAAGAAAAAAAGACTTCTCCTGCGGCTTGCCGATAAAAAATTGCAATGCACCCGCAACGCGGCAAAAAATAGTCGTTATTGGGACTTTATACCTTGGAATTCTATTTTCCTTTGGTGTTCGCTTATTCGTTATGCGACAAATACGTCGAACGTCGTAACGAATAAGCATATAATTCTTGATCGAGGGGGAAGTAAATTATATATATATATACGAGACTTTTATCGAGAATTCTTCGAGAAGAAAGTTTCATCCCCCTATATGGTATGCGACAAACCTAATTACCAACAGTATCTTTTCGCACGGACGATGTTACGAGTTTTGCCCGACACGATACATATACGAGACTGTGAATTCTTCTGTGAAAAAGAGCAAGAAAAAGAAAAGTTGAATCAAACGCGATTCGTGTTAATTTAACACGAATTTTAAAACGGTCGAAAGCGATGAGAATATCGGGGAACCGATGTGGGGAAATTTTACACGTATTGAATATCGTAATTTTGTTTGTTTATAAAACGAAATATAAATAATTTACGCTTGGATTTATGCGTGGCGTTGGAATCTCTCTCTCTCTCTCTCTTTCTCTCTTAATAAATTCGAGGGAATTTTCGAAATTCAATTAGCGATCGCAACGAAAACACGCGGAATACGAATTAGAAAAGTAATTCGACGTTGTGTAACGGGCATACAACTATTTCACGTTATTTAAATGCTGTTAATAACTGTTTAGCGGGTTTGTTTACCGAATAGCCCGAAGCTTTGAATAAATTATGTATTTTCCGCATTTGATATCGCCGCGTTACACACACGACATATATCGGATCGCTCGTCAACACAACGCGCCCGTTATTTTCCCAACTTTTTCTCCGCAACACGCTCGAAGATTTCTCGCCTGGAAATCGAATTTATGAATGATAAACTGTTTGAACCGAAAAATCGCGCGAAACTTTCGCGACATAACTCAGCGGATAAAACCCTTTGGCCCATCAAACCTGATAAAATAGGTCGAGGGAACAAACAGCCCCGAGTATTTCTTCTTTCCACGATATCCTCCCCTATTTTTCACCCTTTTCTCACCGTTCCCCGCCTCCCCCCCTCCCTCTCCTCAAAGATCGTCTAAAAATTCGTCTAATTAACGTACCGATCGTTAATTTCGATCGTTGAAAATTTATCGTTAATCTCCACCACTCGATTTTCGCAGAGAAACACTATTAACATTTCTATTTTCGAGAATTCGATTCGCATTTATTACTCGAACGATACTGTAAAAAAAAAAAAAAGAAAGAAAGAAAGAAAGAAAAAAATCTCGTAAGAGGTTTCATTCGCGAATAAGGTTATAAAGAGGGAGAAAGAAATTCAGGTACCTCTGTGAAAACGCGTCGTCCGGAAAAAATAATTCTACGGAAAGGAATTAAAAGACAAAGCGTTTCCTCTCGGATCCACGAAACGCACAGACACAACCCGCCCCTTGAAAACCTCGTTGGGAAAACATACGTTGGTTTCGTTTGATACATTCTCCCTGTCCATCCTTTTCCTCCTCTCTCTCCCCCTTTTCTTTTTTGTTATTCCTCAATTTTTCGTTTCACGTTTCGTTTTGATTAACTCGGTAACCGACGCTTCAATTTTCATTTGCCGCACCCCTTTGTGGCTGGTATCGTTGTAAGTGACTCGTTACGGAAATATGGTGACAGAAGCGGCACGAGATTGTTTTGTTTACCACGACGAAGTAGTAGCGGCCAGCAACGTTTACCAACGTCTACAACGTTGCGTTCCCAACGTCGCGTTTCGTCCGAGAGGTTTGCAAATTAACACGCCGCTCAACGACACCAACTATTCGCGCTATTGATTCGCGTTCGATCCTTCAAACACCGTCTCTTCCACTCCTTGAAATTTTGATTTAGAAGAAGAAAAAAAAGAATGCGTTGCGGTTTCCTTCCTTCCTTCTCCCCTTTTTTTATTTATTTGTCTACTTATTTGAACGCAATGAGACGCGAGTGGACAAGACAGCAAAAAGTTAAAGCGGCGATACGCCCCCCGAAGGGAAGGCAAAGGGAGAGTTTATCTTCTATCCCCGGACTCTGTTTCCGGATATTGAAGAGAGGCGAGCAACTTTTACCGAACGAAACACGCCGCCGCTCGTATTTTCCTCTTTACTTTACACCGACAGCAGGGGACTAAATTTCAATTTCCCGAAGAACTCTCGTAATTAAACGAGGGATCGTTTATTTGTATAAACCGGTGAAAGCCGGTCGCTGGTAGTGGATCCATCTCGCGAAACGCCACTCTGTTAACTTTATTTCCCACCACGGCCATTCCTATACACGCGCGTACGTAAATAAGTACGTGGGTGTAGGTGAAAAGAGGTAAAAGTTCAGTAACGGGTGTCTTCTTCCGCGGGAAACTTGGACCGTTTGCGAGTCCGCATCTCGGTCTCTCGGCTATGAAAAGTTATTACTTCGAATTCCATACCTCTTGTGGATTTTCAACTACGTAAGAAAAAAAAGAAGAGAGAGAGAGAGACTCGAAATCTCCGTTTTCAAAGAGATGGGAGATCGAAGAATTTTGATAAAAAGAGAACGTACAAAATTAAGAGATCGAGAGAGATAATCTCGTCGGGGATAATAAATTAATATCGTGGAAATTATGCGTGTATTTTTTTTTTTCCCTTTCCCTCTCAGAGGACACGGTGTCGAATTTCGAAATGTTCTCTCTCTCTCTCTCTCTCGTCGTTTTTCATTTCACAGGGTTGATACGTTTTACGTTTCAATTCTCTATTACCGTGATTATTCTCTCGCTCTTAACCCACGCTTTTTCGCATTGGATTACCGAGTCTTAATTAAAGTGGATAAGCCAGGCTCTGCGTCACAGCCAGCAAATTCTAAAGGGACAACGTTTTAACCGCCAAAGTTTAGACCCGATAGTACTCTTATCTGTTAATGTATTAATTCCACCAACGTAAGTAAACGAAACAAGGGATGGATTTTACGACTCCGTTCCAACTAAGCTTTATACGCTATCCTACCAATGGATTTCCAAGCATTATCGAGTTTTATAATTGAAAGATAAATTCGTTACCTTCGACAATTTGTTACATTCGACAATTTTCAGGATACACACACACACACATATATATACACATTTCGAGCGACAGAAAAAGAGAGAGAAATATCGGTATAATAGGAAAACGTTGTTTACCTCGTTTCCTTTGTTCGAGGGAAAATAAAAAAGTTTTCACCCTTGCTCCAAGGGGGGAGGGATTTAATCCGGTTACACGATCTTGGCCTCGATAAACGCGTTAAGAGCGTTAACGCCGCGAGATAAGCAGCTAAGGTACCGTATGACCGCCCGTGGAAAACTTGGCACACCGTGAAAATTTTCCAATTTAAATTTCTCCTTCCTGTTCCTTGTCCACTCCATATTATACCAGCTTTTTCGTGTCGCTCGACTCTCTCTCTCTCTCTCTCTCTCTCTCTCTCTCTCTCTCTCTCTCTCTCTCTCCCCGTTTGTTTCCAACGAAACACTGTTAATTTATTCCGAACAAAGTTGGCGCTCAAAGTTGAAAATGACTCGGTCAAGCATCTTTTGCATTTCTTTCAAACGTATATCCCCCCTCCCCCCCTCCCTTGTACGTATTCCCATATTCACCGGTTGAATTTCAAAGGGCATGAAATGGCGCGAATACAACCATTGCGAAATTCCCCTCCTCATCATTCCCCGCCTCTTTGTTCGCTATTTTCGCTTCGACGATGAATATCAGGAAATTGTCGAAATGAGACGCGATACGAATGCAAATGAAACGAAAGGTCAAATGTACACATTTATTATCGAACTATGCTACTACGAAACTTGGCGTGCATCTTTACCTAGCCCCTACCTAGCTTTTAAACCGAATAAAAATTCATTCACAGAGAAAGGCAGGCTCTCTTTTATCGATATTTAGATAGAGGAATATTTATTTTCCGAAATATATATATATGCATAATTCGTTGATAACGATGCTTATTAAAAAGCATCGATTGAACACGGTGAGATAAAACGCGATCTAAAGAACTCCCCTTTAAAATACTTTTCCTTTGTGACCGTGCATCTGGCTTACTAATCTAGCTTCACCACTTCGTGACTCGTCCAGTAGGTCAACAATTTTTTACTATTTGCTATTGACGCACGCACTTTGGGGAGGGAAATAGGTCACGCCTGCTGAACGATCGCTCGATAACATCGTAACACATACGTTAAAGTCTCGATATCGAGAGATCGAGAGATATCGATATCTTTTCGAATTTGTTATTTTGCGCGAAATATATTAGGATATAGGAGGAGGAGAGAGAGAGAGGGGGGGGGGAGGGACGATTTTACTCACCTGACGATCGAACAATGGCGGGTTATCGTTGACATCGGTGATTTCAACGGTGAAGGAGCAAACACCTTCCAAGGAAGGCTCGCCTTGATCCGTCGCTTTCACAGTAACGGATACAAATTTACCGTCGTCTCCTTCGCGATCGAATACCTGAAAATATCGATGCGATATTTTTTTACCATCTTTCGTATAATCGTCTGATCGATCGAGATCACCTTTCCAGGTGAAAGGTGAAGAAGAAAATCGAAATTAGTAGAAACGTAATTGCGTAATCCCGGTTGAAAAAGAAACGGGAAGGAAGAAAATACCTTGTTGGTCAAAACTTGGCCAGTCTCCTCGTCAACGGTGAACTTGGTTCCCTTCTGATTGGGTTGTTGTACGATGGAATATTTCACTTGCCCGTTCACACCCTTATCCTCGTCCGTGGCCTGAACTTTGATCACGGTGCTACCGTTGGGCGCCCCTTCTTCCACCTTCGGGTTGTACATGCTGCAATCCTTGAACACCGGCTTGTTATCGTTCACGTCGGTGATGAAAACGACGACGACAGCGGTGCTGGTGTGGGTGGTGGTCTCCCCGTTCGGGCAACAAGCACCGTCGTCGAGGGCGGTCACGTTCAACTCGTACTTGTCTCTGTCCAAAGAGATCGCTTTCCCGTGAAGGCGAATCACACCGGTGATCTCCTCGATCACGAACTGGCCCGACGTCGTGTTACCGCCCACGAATCGGAAACGAACGTTGTCCCCGTCCTTGTCGGAGGCGACCACCGTCGTGACGAGCGTGTTGGGTCCGGCGTTCTCGTCCACGTTCGGCGTGTACACCTGCTGCGAGAACTTTGGCTCCTCGTCGTTCTTGTTCTTCGTGTATATGCGCACCGTCGCCGTCCCCGTTTTCGGTGGCTCGCCTGGAAAATTGGAACTCGTTGAGCGGGAGAAAGAAAGAAACGCGAAAAGACGACGGATCGAACGACCAACAAATTGCGAATCCTTAAATGAATAAAAGTTACGGTTGGAAAAGAGGCCGTTTACCTTTGTCTCTGGCGGTGACAACGAATTCGTAATAGGCATTGTTGTTATCCGCGTCGAGCTGCTTATTGTTAACTATTATCCCGCTCGAGTCCACGCTGAAGTGGTCGTCCGACACCAGATACTCTATTTCCGCGTTCGCACCGGAATCCGCGTCGGTCGCTTTCACTTTCAGTATACTCGTCCCCAACGATATATCCTCGTCCACGTTATGCGCTTGGTAATCGGGCAACTCGAATTTCGGCGCGTTGTCGTTCACGTCGGAAACTCGTATCGTCAACTGGGAAAACAAATTTGTAACGAAAACAAAAATTTCAATTACTTTCTTCTTTTCCTAATTTTATTTTCTCACCAATAAATTTGAAATGTTGAGATTTAATCGATCATTAATTCATCGATTAATTAAAAAACCGAAAGTAAAACCTTCGGTTTCAACTTCGATGCTCGACGTTTAATACGATAATTTATACCAATCCAAATACGTAGTACCCAAATACGTTTTCGATCGTATCGTTGCGTTATTATTTAAATAACAAACGCGATACGCGATAATTTATTCCAATCGTATCGCCGTAATATATTCGTAATTACGTGTTTTCGTGAATTTTCTACGAAAACACGTACTATCGTACATTTAAAAAAAAAAGGAAAAAAAAAATAAGAATTGGATATACGATGGTATCGAATGTACCTCGACGGACGTAGAGAAACCGCCGGAATCCTCGGTGGCGGTAACGATAAGGGAGTAGATGTGCGGTTGACGAAGATCCTCGAAATCTAATTCTTTCGCCAATTTTACAATGCCGGTGGTCGGTCCGATATTGAACGTTCCCGCTGCGCCTTGCCCCTGCGCCTTCAGCGTGTATCGAATCTCACGATCGGCGAACGACTTTGCCTTCACCGATATGATGCTGGAAAATGGAAAATTCGCGACTAAGTTGAGGAGGAATCGCGGAGAAAGAAAGAGGGATGAGGAGGAGGAGGAGAAGGAGGAGATCAACTCACTCGGAGTCCTTCTTCTGATTTTCCGGTATCTCGGCCTCGTACGCGGTCATGTAGAATTGCGGCGCCCGTTTTCCACCTACGATCGATAGCCGTTCCTCGGGAGTCGACTGATAACGCCTCTCGTCTATACGCCCGTTCTGATCCTCCGCTTTCACGTACAGAACGTACTCCATGTCCAACTGGAAGAGATCGGTCCCTCGAGTACGTACGACACCGGATCGCTCGTCCACCTCGAAACGGCCCCCAGCTGTGAACGAGCAAAATGAATCATTATCCTCCGTTGATTCTACCTACGTTTCGTCCACGGAAATCTCGTGGATGGATACTTCATCATTACAACGGGAAACGGAGATATTTTTTGGATCGAACGAAATGACGATTTTATATTCGACGAGAAATAATTCGACGAGCGTTTTTTCGAAGAAATAAAAGTAAACACGGGATTCGAGAATATCTCCGCCACCCGATGAACGATCACGTTCTCGATCGAAACGTTTTCGCGAGGAATGGGTAATCTTGGGTAATAGGTAATTTACGGGAAATAGGTATTGCGCACACATGCGATATTCGATTCATATACGTACTCCGATCTCGTACGATGAAGTAGTGAATATTGCTGTCCGTGTCAGGATCCCTTGCTTGAAGGGTAAACACGTGAGTATTCGGCGGTGCATTCAGCTGTACGACCGTTTGCATCGGCAGTGGCCGATTTATGAAGTACGGTGGCTCGTCATTAACGTCCTTCACGTTGATAATGACACGCTGATTGTCCGTGTCTGTAATCGTCCATCGATTTATCGATCAAACCACGCATAAGCGGTCCCTCCATCCACAGAAAACGGTGGACAGTGTTCAAAGGCGGTGACCGGATACCGTTTGACATTATCTCGTCTCACGCTTTGACCTTTGGCCTGTTAAATCTAACGCGACCGCTTTAAATGAAATTCCCCCCGCTTTATGATCAATCCCTAGCTTTATATCTATCCTTGTAGTCAATTTTTTCCCGAGTTTTTCGTTTTGTTCCAACCAAGGATCGAACAAATTTCATCCTTGCACGAGATTATACACGTATACGCGCGTATATAAATTTTGGTCGCGAGACCAAATTGCAATTTATATACCTGTGTAATGGAATGCGATTTCTTTCTTCAAAATTGTTAAAACGTTATTTTCTCTTATTTACCGCGTTTGTTTCATTTTCGAGAGAGAGAGAGAGAGAGAGAGGAAAGGAAAAGAGT